AACTCACCAGGGTTTCCTAACTGGTGCTTATCGAAGTTAGGTTCCTACACTCTCACAAGAACTGGGAGACAGGGGCCCTATCTCCAGGTATTGGCCTTTGGAAGCCTTGAGTTTTGTCAGTTAGGCACTTTAAGGAAGCTAGGGTCATCTTGGGAATGCAGCCTTGAGCTGTCAGAAACTATGTTAGTGTTTGTTTAAATTCACTGTAGTTTAGGACTAAGGCCTAGTCAAGAAGAGAGCTCAGAAGAACTTGGCTAAAGTTTAATCAAGGAGAGAATCTTGTCACCATGTCATTAAAGGGTAAATCCAAAACAAAGTATCAGTAAACCTTGAGGGTCTTCCTTAGAAATAGAAAATAACCTCACCACTTCTCACCATCTCAACGGATGCACCCTGGTAAATCACAATCACTTCTAAATTACCAAGAGATTCTAAAATAATCTCCTTGCCTCTACACTAACCCTTTCAGTCTGTTGTCAATAGAGTTGAGTGATACTTTAAAAATAAGTTACATAGTGTCTCACTAAGGCCCTAAGCTTTAAGTGTCTTATCTCACCCAGAGTATAAAAGAAGGTCCTTACAATGGCCCCTAAAGGCCCTACTCTCTTTATGGCCTATTAAGTGGCCCAAAGAGAGGAAAACAGGAAAAGTGATCTGCCCCAATGCGCTGCTCTGTAACCACTCTTACGGCTTTCCCTCTGGTTCAGTCCACACCAGACACACTGACTTTACTGCTGTTTTAAACAGGCCAGCAGCTTTCTGCCTCAGAATCATAGCTCTAGTTCTGCCAGGAATGTTCTTCCCCACAGGTGTAATACCTGCCTGTCTCAGTCATTCATGCCCTTTAAGCCTTTGTTCAAACCTGACCTTCTTAAGAGGCTACTCTGAGCAACCTTTTAGCACTGCAGCTTTCTGTCACTTCTCTAACCTGACTCCTGCTTTGAATAATTGAATAGATCATAATATAATTTATGTATTAATTATGTTTCCTTATTATTATCTGTTCTTTCGGCTAGAATAGGAGCTCCACAGAGCTAGGGCATCCCGAGCCTACTGATGGATTTTTTTTTCCCCTCACAAAATTGGTGCTACATTGTAAATGTTTAATAGATATATTTGTTGAATAAATAAATTAGCTGATCTAAGTAAAATTTCTTAGTGATATAAAATAAGCTCCATTATGTTGTTTTGCACTAGCTGGTTACAGTTATGTCTTGTTATAGTATTTGGTATATATATATATGATTTCTATGAGATACGTAGGTTTGGGCTCTGAAACTGACACTTGCTGAGGAGCAGTAATTTTTTTCTCTTGTCTCTCATGTCCCTGTTTTCCCACCTGTAAAGAGAAGAAGAGAGAGAAAATTCATATAGAGCAAAATTCATAAAAGCGTGGCAACAGACAGGAAAGAGAACCATAGTTACATTAGTGTTTATATTGTACTGATACATGTACTGGTTAATCGAATATCTAAAATTATGATTAAGACCAAAGACCATCAAGAATTGGAAGAAATACCATAGGTAGATATAATCATAAAAAGCTTTGTAGTGACCAGAACGCATGTATCCTCTGTAAGAGAAATAATTACATTGGCTAATTTTAGTCAAAACCACGCATTTTCTTGTCTGTTTCTCTAGCTATTGGTGTACCACTTTTCTACCCTTTAAATCCTTTCTTCTTACAGTGTAAATATTTTTTATCATATTTTGAAATACTATGGTGGAGCTAGTGAGGGAAGGGGAAATGCATTATTTAAAAGACCACATTCTGCAGCCAAACTTCCTGGGCTCTCATCTCCACTTTGCTGTTAACTATGCAACTATGGGCAAGTGACGTACAAATCTTGACCTTACTTTTTGCATATATACAATGGAGATAGTAATAGTATATATTGGATGGAATTGTTTTGAGGAATAGAACCTCACAAGACATAGTTCCTGTTACATAGTATTAATTCTATAAATAGCTATTTTTATATAATAATGGAGTAGTTTCTGAAAAGAAAAATGTATAATTTAAAAGTTTTTATCCACTACATTTTCATAAAATATTATTTACACAACACTGAATCATGGAGGCAAATATTCATTACTAATATTTTTAAACGACTCTTTATACATTCATTTGAAGTTTTAAATTCCTATGCTAGAAAATTTATAATTTGAAATACCAGGTTTAGTTAGATACTTCAGACTATGGTGTTGAAAGTTCTCTCTGTATCTTATATGGCAGTATATGGGAGGTAAAATAATTTCCCCTTTACTCGTCTGAGTTCTGGGTTGAGATCTCTGTAATAAAAACAGATTAACAAGAGAAAAAGCTCAGAAGTTTACTGACATGAACCCTCATGTATACACTGGAGGTATCCAGGGGAAAATGAGTAACACTCAGAGAAGGATTAGAACTTCAGTTTAAGTACCATCTTCAGCTAAAGAAAAAAGAGAGTGAGGGTTGGGGAAGGCATGCTATCAGAAAGTTACCAGGAAAGCAGAATAAAAAAGTATAAGATACGTCATGTAGATTTAAGTCCCTACTTTCTTGATTTCTAATGTTGTTTTAGAGTAAGAAGAGGGGCATTTTTATAAATTTATGTCCTGATTTTAGGCAAATAGCGGGAAAGCAGAGAGCTTTTCTTATTTCTTCTCAATTGCCTTCAATTACCCCGTATTTTGCTGTGTATAATGTGCTCATGTGTCTGATGCACACCCATGTTTTTGACCCAAACTTTCAGGAAAAAAAAATCTTTTCATTTTAATTTTTTAATTCAATTTTTTTATTTACTTATATTTAGAAACAAAACTGATTATAACATTCCAGAGTATTATTTTGCATATGGATATTGTTATTACTTTCTAGAGTTACACGTTTAATGTATTAAATATAAATAAAAGAATTAAAAACATTTATACACATACAGAATTAGTACTACCCACATATAATGCACACCCTAATTTTTCCCTCAAAAATTTGGGCAAAGAAGTATGCATTATGCATGGCAAAATATGGTAAAAAAAATCCTTACATGAAAGTGGCATATTTTGGGGAGGCATATTCTGTTACCCTTCAACAGGAGCTTTTCTGGGTGACTCTTTCCCTAAGAAAGAGATACACTGACAAGAACTATGAAGGTTCTGGTATTTTATCCTACTTCCAGTGTAACAAGTGGACTGCCGCAGTTTCATAGAAGTTGACAGAAACCACGAGACTCCTCTGCTAGAGAGAAAGGACTTTATTACTCACAGCACAAAAGGGAGCATGAACTTCAGATTCAGATTCCTCTTGCTCCCAAGCTCCACAAAGCAAAATGAAGCTACTAGGCAGGTGCTGCAAGAGCAGTGGGTTTGAATTAGAATGGAGGAATTTCAAGCTTAGGAAGGTCCTGCTAACAAACCTACAAACATTTTAACCTGGAGTGAGAGGTGATCTTTGTTATCCTGCAGCAAATCTCTCTGCCCTTGGATATACAATTCCTATCTGGGAAAGTATAATGTGGAAAAATGCAAGAGAACCATGGAGACTTGGCTTGCAACATATACAAACACAATGCATCACTAAGGCTATTATGATGAAAAGAAGATGCACAAAAATTCTGACCAGAGATTTAGACTACCATTATAAATGTAAAACCCTCGATGCTGATGCTTTGAATATATAATCAATTAGAATAAAACCTTGTAACAGTTTTGCTTTGTACTGCTGTATCACTTGATGCTTTAATGAGTTGTATGTTCTTTCTTCTTATCAAGTTTTACCAACCCCCTCTATACTTATTTTTGCCAATAATTTAATATTACTGGCTAAAGTATTTTTTGTGTTAGAACTAACACTTTTTCAAGAGTGGCTTGAACCGTAGTGATCTTCCTTTCTCTGCCTCCTCCTGTAAAATTAGGTTTCACATGTTCCTCCCCTGTAGTGTAGCTGAGCAATAGCTACTCAGCTTTGCCAGGCTTATTTCCTCTGCTAATAATGAACACTTCCCCCTCCCACATTCTTATTTTTAAGATACTTTTTAGTGGGTGTCTTACTCAGAAATAACTCAAAATAACATTTTTCTTTGTTTAAGTTAAAGCTAGAGCTGTTCTGTACTGTGTGTGTGCCTCGTCCTTTTAAAGCTAGAACTACAATATTCACTTGATTTCCAGAGAACTATCAATCACTATTACTTAATAAATCTAATAATTGAGCATTTAACTTTTTTTGTCAAGTGATAAAAACAAGCTGTTCCTCTCAGTGGATATAATTAGGAAGCCCAAAGCCTGAGTCATTGGTAGGGTTGCCAGAAAATATACAGGTTAATACACAGGGCGTCCTGTATATTATCTGCGTGTAATTTTTTTTAGCATGAAATGTACGTCTGGTACAATATTTGAGATATACTTTAAAAAATTGTTTATTTGAAAATGAAATTTAACTGGACATCCTGTAATGTCGCCCCCCCCCCCCCCGCCCCGATCTGGCAGCTCTAGTTACTGTTTATCTACCAAACAAACTACAGATAACCTTTTGGTAAAATCTGACTTCAAGTTGGTTTAGCTCGGAAGCCCTCCCTTCGGGGCACAGGTAAATGTTTCAAAATTTAGATTGCGACATTAACGCCATTCAAAAATAAATGTATTCTGCAAGTTTTAAGATTCGTAGATGTGTATTTGGAAGTCTGGCTCAAAAAAGTGGAAGATTAGCTTTAAAGAAGTCATGACCGATATGGGGTTCCCAAAGAGAAGAGAAACTTAACGTCAGAACTTTTCCAAAGAGCGTGGAACTTACGCCGCAGTCCTTTTCGCGGTTCAGCGAAGACAGAGCGCAAGACGTAAGCGAGCCAATAGGTGACCAGCAGGAAAAGGGGAGGGTGGAGCCAATCAGAGACGAGATGGGTGGGACTAGGCTCCAGAAAGGGGAGGCCTCTGACACTCAGCCAATCGGAACCTAGTAGGGCGGGTCTGGACCCCATCAGGGGGCGTTCTTGGGGACGCAAGCTGCTCTGCAGGTGCACCTTGAATTCTGCTTCACCGGCACCTGTACCTGCACGGACGCTTTCCACCCAGCAGAGCGGACACCGACGGTGACGGTTGCTCCGCTTGTCATGGCCTACCCGGGATACGGAGGAGGGGTGAGTCGTGGCCCCTTCGCGGCATCCGTTCCCGCGGGGCGTGGCGCCCCTGCTGGCGGTGCGAACGTACCGCGTCTGCCTTCAGCCCTTGAATTTTCACCTGTCTCTGGTACTACTCGGTGGCGCCGTCAGTCTGAAGGGTGCTGCTGGAAGCCGGGCGCGGCTGAGCGATCTGGTCCTTGAGGCGCGTTCTAGTGTAGCCAAGAGTGTCTTGTGGTTTTAGAAATTTTACTAGAACGGCAGGGGAAAAAAGCACCCCCCTTTCTTGTATTAGTTATCTTTTGTTGTGCGTCCTCCCGTCCTCCGCCATATGCCTGTCAGTTTTGCTAGACATCCTCTTTCTGAATTTTTTGATTACTTCTTGTTTTCTATACTTTAAGTTGCTTATGAGTAAATTAACATATGCTAAATGCTTCCTAATCTTTACTATTCTAGATTTTTTTGTAGTTGGGGAGGGTTACTCTTTCTTACATAACTCTGTATTTTGCATCACCTTTGAGAGATGGGAGTTGTAATTGTAGTATCCTGATGTCTAGCTTTTTCTTTTCAGAAAGGAGCCCAACCTTCAGTATTTACGTTAGTGATGTCCAAAGTGAATGAGCACACCTTGTGTTAACAAAATGGACATGAGGGATGATCCATTGGGGTGCGGATAGAAAATAACATACAGTGTATTTCCAGTTTTAGTTGTACGTGTATTTACCTAGAAATAGAAATTGAGCTTTACTAATATTTAGTATAGGAGTTAGCACTTGATTAGCTTCACATGGCCTCTTCTACTTTACTATGTTTACTTTTCATCTGTCTTTAAACATAGTAAAAAAAAGTTTAAGATGCTTAAGGAAGGTAAAACTTTCTTCAAAAGTTAGTCATGGTAGCATAAACCCGTGGGACTTTAAAAAATTTTGACACTGATATAAGTTAGAGGGAGTGTCCTGAAGGATGAAGTGGAGTTCTATACAATGGCCTCTCCACTTGTTTCCTTTCAGCCTGTTGTGACTTATTACAGTTTTTATGTACAGAGTTTTCTGGGGTTACAGATTATATAATACAATTTTACTAAAGTAACACTCCCAAAATGGACCAGTAATTTGAAAATTTCCTGGAAGAAATTTGGAATCAAAGATGATATTAAAAATTCAAAAATGTGCAAAACAACATGAAAATGACATTGCTAACACTTTTAAGTTCAAGCTTTTCTTCAGTCACACTACCAGATAACTATAACTATATAGTAATCAGTTTTGACTCATTTGACATTATCAAGAAAACAACTTGCTGTATTATGAATTTTTAAAACTATTTTTATGGATTAGCCTTATATAATGGCTAAGAGCTCCGGTTCTCCACATGGACCCTTCAGCATCAGCCTTGGCCTTCTTAATGCTGGCTTTGTTCTAAGAGAGAAACAGAAGCTTCCTCTTCATGTCTTAACCCTGGAAAGGACATGGTGCAAACTCTACTGTATTCTATCAGATAAAGCTGAAACAGGTCCAGCTCAGACTCAGGGGAGCGGAGCAAATCTGCCTTTGCATGAGAGAGATGGCAAAGAATTTGCAATCATCTTTACTCGGACCACTAGTACCAGCTCTCACATTTTCGGATTTAGGGGGAGTTAGTGCTTGTCAGGAAGGAAAGATGGATAGAAGGTTATTCCTAAGGCTTCAGTTTAGGAAAAAAATTGTGTTGAGCCTCCAAGGAACAAATGGAGATGCTATAATAGAGGGTCTATAATCGTCTTTTGTCATCACTTCAACATTAGCTTTTCACTAATATTCACATGTATTTAGTTTGACCTCTCTTCTAAAAAAATTTTTTTCAGTTTTTCTTCCTTATGTGAAGCTTAAGTTAGTGAGAGTCTTTAATAAACTCTAAATTCTTGGGTATTCCCAAAGAATTGACTGTACCCCATGTCCTTGGAGGCTTTGGAACCCACGCCTGTGTCTTGGGTATTGCCACTTGCCCTTCGAGTAAAAGCTTTGGGAGTTTTCCTGATCCTTTTATCCCAGGTTTTAGACTTGTCCTCAAATATTGGCCAGGAAGTTTCCTTCTATCAGTAAGATGATTGAAAAATAATATTTTTGCAACATTTTATTTTTAAGTTTTATCAAGTTTTCCTAGCCTGCCATTATGATAAATAGGACTTTTTTTTCCCTTGAGTCAGTATTTGTAATTTATATACTTTTAGAAAACCCATTTCATCTATATTTTCAAATATATTGGTAAAAAGGTATTCATAGCATTTGTTAATATATTTTTTTAATTTAAATTCTATATGTGGTTATATACTCTCTTTTTAATTCAATGATCTGTCTCTTCAAAAAAGCAACTTTTAAACAATCACATCTATTTTATTTATTTACTTTTTGTTTTTAATCTGTAACATTGTTTTAATGTTTACTGTTTCCTTTCTTATACTTTATTGCTTCAGAAACTAGGTTTTGACCATTTTCTTAAGGACATTTCCTGGAGGTGCAGTACTTCCTCATACTTTTGCTCTTAGCACATCCCACCTGCTAGGACTTTTGAAAGTACTACAAAAGGCCTCTGTGTTTTGTCTTCCCTGCCCCCCTCTTCCATGTGCTTAAATTCTTTTCTCTTTTTACCTTCTGGCAGTCCCTGCTGATACTTACAAATGAATGAAGGTGAAGTACAAATTAGCAATTGCAAAATAGTTACTGGAAGGTAAAGTACAGCATAGGGAATATAGTCAATAATACTATAATAACTCTGTATGCTGCCAGGGTGGGTATTAGATTCAATGGGAAAATCACTTAATAAGTTACATAAGTATCTAACAGTATGCTGTACACCTGAAACTAATATAATGGTAAATGTCAACTGTAACTGAAAAATTTCTGAAAGGCAATGCTGTATTTAAAAAAAGAATGTAAGTGAAAAATATTTTTGTTCAAAATGGAATAGAGAACAAACCTGATATATCTTTCACCTTCAGACTCATAAAGATACTGAGTAAAATACCTTTTTACAGTATTAAAAATGTGTACCAAGTTCCAGAGTGAAAAGAGAGAAACCAGAGCTATAGAGGGAACAAACAGTAGGTAGCCTCTGGGGTCAGACTGTGTGTTTCTGAATCATGCTCTACTTCTTACTAGTTATTTGACCTTAGCCAATTCAGGAAACTTCCTGAAGTGTCAGGTCCTCAATTGCAAAAAAAGACATAGTACTTTAATAGCCCATAGGGTTTTTGGAAAGTCAAATCACATAATAGATGGAAAGTACCGGGAGTCCCTAGGATATAAAAAGCTCTCAATAAATATTAGTGCATATCATTATTGTTGGTATTTTTGTTATTATTAGTTTTGAAAAGGAACATGGTTGGAATTATCACTTTATTATTCTGTTCATTGGTGTCTTGCTGTTAAAAAAAAAAAAATTTTTTTGGCCCTATACAGTTTTTCTTGATTTATTCACAATTTCATTGTATTGTACCATGTAGTCCTCTAAGTATGTGTCTTGAGTTATACTACTTGTTAGTTTTTCAGTAGGTGAAATTTTCTTAAATTTTTTACTTTTTGTTTATTTCAGGGATGATCATAGTAAATGCTTTTTAAAATTGTGCCTCATGTTCATCTATTAAAGTTCTTAGTGGCTGGAGATTTCTTTTTATTTTTTACAGTTCTTTTAATGCTGGATAACATGTTAAGGAAAGGAATTGATCCTAATGCAGGACATTTAGCATCTAGCTAACAGCTTTTGTGATAATAAATTTGGAGGCTTTCAGTATTCCTATTTCTGCATTTCAAAGGACGGCACATATTTTCTTTTAAACTAACTTTCGTGGATAATAGGTGACATTTGTAATAATAACTTTCTCCTTTTTCACTCTTCTAGTTTGGAAATTTTAGTGGTCAGATGCCTGGAATGCAGATGCCAATGGGACAGCCATTGCCAGGAATAGGGCCACATGTGCCCCCTGGTGGCTACCCCGGATACCCGGATTATTCAGATAGTTATGCCTCAGCGGAAGATCCCATGTGGAGGTACTTTACTGCTGTTGCTGGACAGGTGAGATGCTAAATACATTGCACAAATATCAGTTTGTGAAATGATTGCTATTTAAAAGAAATGCTCACTTTTTTTACGTAGTGTTTTATTTTAAGTGTATACCAAGTTTGTATTTTAAACTTACCTAGGCTAATTTTCTTCCTGAGATCAGAGATGAAGGTGGTTGTTTTATTTTAAAAAGTCTGTTAGCATGATGCCTGACACATAGTTCATTTAATTAAAAGTGGAAGCAGGGTAGTATGGGAGGTTGAGCCTGAGAGGATTTGGAAAAGGAGATCTATCTACATGGACAGATTGGTGGCTTCATTAAGTTGCCAGACAGTCATGTTCTATCTAGTCTCGGGCTTCTTGTATAAAACAATAGATCCTTTCTTGTGTAATCCCCGTTAATAGCATTTTTTTAATTACAGCTAAGTGTAATTCTGTTACATTATACCATTCTTATATGCAAGGAACTTTTGAAGTATAATACTGAGAATAAATGTTATCTATAACTGACTATGTAATAAATCCATTTTATGAAATTACAACTTAAAGCATAGGAACTGGACATATACATTTAGAGACTTTTATTTGACTTCTGAACTATTTCAGTGCAACAATTGTCCACAATGATTTGCTATGATGGTACTACATGATACTTTCCTTAATTTTTCCATAGTCTTACGCTTTTGAATAAATAGTTAAACTCCATGAGGACATGACTCTTGGCATATTCTCCTTTACCAAGTTGGCACTAGGAATATATTGGTCATTCAGTAAGTGTGTTGAATGGATATATAAATTTTCTCATTTTTAATTTTTAGTCCAAATATTTAGTTGGTTGTTTTATGTGCTGAATTTTGCCTAGATTTATGATCAGGTGCATTAACTGACTTACACTATTATGGTCCTAGAACCCAGGTGCTCTACAGCTGTATTCTTTTTTGATAGGCATCATAATTTATGGTGCTCTATGAGAACTGTCCAGTTAAAGGTTTCTGCAGTGTTCCTTTCTATAGGATGATGTTTTCTGAACAGTGATAATTCACTCAACAGTTGATTACAGGAATTCCGGTTTGTACACAGGCATGCTCACTCACACGCCCATGCACACATGTAATGCATCTCAGTAACACCAACTTTAATTTTAGTGTTCACACTGCCTCCACTTTTCTATACAGTAGCTCTGCAGGTGGGTAGAATGGATATACCCTTTTATTGTAGATAAATAAATGGAGATTAAGATAGAGTAACTGAACAAATAAGACTTGAACTTGAATATCATTTTAAAATCTTGCTGCCTATTACTGGCATTTAATAACACTAACCAATTAACCAATGACAGTTGGTTTTTTGTTAATTATCTGCCTAAAGCTCTATTATTTAATTAGAAAATGCTGTTTTCCACTATTATGCTACCAAGTTCTGTAGTGAGATTACACAGTCGATCATGATCCATCAGTTCTAAGTGCAGGGAATGAGATCCAAAGTGATCACTTTCTTCATGTAGTTTAAAAAGACATTGCTTATTAGTCAGTTAATTAAGGTAATATGTTTTCATAAAATAGATGAAATCAGAATATGGAGTATTTTGCTAGGGGAATGCTTTCTGATGGTTAAAGCTTTTAGTAAAGCTGCTCAAGTTGTTTTTCTGACTGAACATTCTGTAAAGAACCCATGCAAAATTTAGTTTTATTCATTATATTAGATTTTAGATTTTTTAATTTAATCAACATTTGAATGAGAAATGCTACTATTTTAACCTTTTGAAATAACAAATGAACTTATCCACAGACTGTCAGAAATTACTATAGTTCAACCAACAAGCAATGATAATTACCTTTATTCTACCAAAACAACTAATGTGCTTTGCACTAGATGCTGTGCTAGGACTTGGCGATGCAAAGGCAAATGAAACGCACATACTAACTTTGAAGATCTGTGCCCAGTCAGAGCAATAGACATGTAGGAAATGAGTGATAGCGGGGAAGAAGTGCTAAAGGTGATTGGGTAAGGATTATAGCAATACCGAGGACATCCTCTGACATTTATACTTGGCTTTCTTTGCCTACGGCAGCACTGTCTAAAATAAATATAATATGAGCCACAAATGTAAGCCACATAATGTAGTTTTAAAGCCTTGAGTAGTACATTTTAAAAAGTAGAAATAGGTGAAATTAATTTTAATAATACATTTTATTAAAGCCAGTATATCAAAAAATATTAACATGTCAGTGTTATCAATGTAAAAGTTCTTAATAAGATATGTTCCTTTTCTTTGGTATTAAATATTGGAAATCTGGTGTGTATTTTACACTTACAAAACATCTCAGTTCAGACTAGCCCTAAGGATGCAGTGGAACATATGGCTAGTAGCTGCTGTTTGAGACAGCTCGGGTCTAAAGCGCTCTTCCCTCAGGGATCCGCAGAGCTTATTCCTTTACTTTGTTCAGCTCTTTCTCAAAATTCACTTTATCAGTGAGGCTTTCCTTAATCATCTATATAAAATAGCATTACTTCCTCCTCAGGGTCATTGTACACATTCCTTATTACCTTTACTCTGCTCTGTTTTTCCCTTAGTACTTAATACCATCAAAAGTAATTTTTGCTTTATCGTCTCTCTTCCACTACTAATATGTAAACTCTATGAAGGGGAGGAATTTTTTTTGGATAATATTAGATACCTAGTCCTTTTAACGGTGCTTGTACATACTAGGTTGCTCAATAAATATTTGTAAAATGAATTTTTTTATTCTTAGTGGAAGATATTTCTTCAGTTATTGCTCTGCATTTTCATAACATAATTGGTTAATTAGTGCTCTATAAAATTAATTTCATCGTGTATCATTTTGTTCTAAAATTGCAGATTTTTGTTGGCTGTCTTTTTGAACAATAGATTTTTTCAATATATTTTCAACTTTTGGTTCATAAACTTGTCTCTCATGGAGTTTTTGTGTAATTCCTCCTTTTGGTCCCCCTCCCACGTCATCCCTTTCCTCCCCCATGTTACCTTCCTTACGTATTGCCTTTGTGATTGTCCCTATCTAGATTGTGTCCATAATCTGAAAATACAGCAACACTTTTAAAAATACTATTTTCTAACTACAGAATTTAAACTTTGTACGCAAAGTCACACACAAAAAATATGCATGGCAGAGAAAGGAGCACTTAGATACTCTGTGTAGTGAATACTATATGTAGGGTTCATTGAGAAGAATGCTTCCCAGTATTTTTTAATTCCTCTAGACCTATCAGAATTTTTCTTCTGAGGAACTCCATTGCAATGATCAGAATATGAGTATTTATAATACTTATTAGCAGTAGTTTGTAAAAGTTTTTTTGTTGTTGTTTCTTGGGTCTCTTACAAAGTACGTTTTAAATTTGTCTTCTTGATCCTTTCTCAGAGCTATTGTTTTGCATTTGTGACAAGGTACTGAACATTTGATGCTTCCAAGTAAATGACTATCCTGTATTTTTTTTTTGTAGAGAATAAGATGAGGCACTGAAACATGAGACTATTTACTGTTTCATTTCCATTGTAATTTCTTATTTGCTTTAAAAACTTACTTCCCTTGCCCTGCCTGGTGTGGCTTTGAGCACTGGCCTGCAAACCGCAATGTCACTGGTTAGACTCCCAGTCAGGGCACATGCCTGGGTCGTGGGCGGGGCCCCCAGTGGAGGGTGTGCAAGAGGCAACTGATTGATATTTCTCACTCATGGATGCTTTTCTCCGTCTCTTTCTCTCTCCCTTCCCTTCTCTCAAAAAAATAAGTAAATCTTTAAAATAAATGAATAAATACATAAAAATTTATTTCTCATATGTTCAAATCAAGAATGTTTGAGCAATAATTAGAAGTATACTAACAAAATGTAAGGAACTCTAAAATTTTGCTGAGTGTACTGGTGGTGGAGGGAAAAGCTATTTTCTTCTTCAGTATCTTTTAGGAATAACCTCCCACCAAAATAGGCATGAAAGGGAAGTTTTTGAGACTTCTGAAGATATTTTCAGCATTTTTTCAACCTATTTTAAGTGGATATGTGGTGTTTGTCACAAGATAGACTCTTTGAGCTATTATAGTACAGAATGATTATGTTGTTTTCCAGAAGTGGAGAGAATAAATTATATTTGAAATGCTTGATAATATAGTTTCATTGTGAAAACATTTATATTTCATGATGTTGTCAATTAATAAATATTTTTTAGTTGATAGTAGAGTAATATTTTGAAGATAACATATTTATTGACTGGCCTAGAATAGACACTTAGCATTTTAATATGCTTTTATACAATTGTACATTAAATCAAGTTATAATTGTTTTTAACAGGACGGTGAAGTGGATGCAGAAGAACTTCAGAAATGTTTGACACAGTCTGGAATCAGTGGAACTTACTCTCGTGAGATCTTTTTTCCTCAGCTCTTGAAATTGAAATAAGAAATTCATTTTCTAATGTTTTGTCCCCATACTTAAAATACTTAAAATAATTTTATCACAGATATGCATGCATGTGGTTTAAAGAGTCAAATAATTCTGCATAGTGTCTTATGAAAATAACTGTTCATTGTGCATTCCTATCTCCCCCGGGTTAGACACTCATAGAGGAAATCTCCTTCAACTTTTTCAGCTCACTATGTTGAAATTTGCCTCAAGATCTCAAAATAGCACGTTTTTAATCACTACTGGTTTTCAGTTTTGATGAGTATCAGTTGATGTCCTGCTATGGAACAGGAGGACTTAACCCTCAACTTTAAAACTCGCCTTTGTCCCGGCACTCCATACAGGAACGCTTTCCATCCTCCCATCCACTCAGTATTGTTGTATAGTGATTTACCGTAGATCAATAATCAGTATTTGGCTTATTGTTACTATCTAAATGCTCTTGTGTCTTGTGACAGATATGGGTGGTTTTCCATTCTACATAACTTTACTGACGTTAGCTGTCACCCTGGAGCTCTGTGCTGGGCCTTGCTTCCTGTGCTCAGCTCTCAGGCTGGCACTCCATCCCCGCTGTTCAGGAGCTGGCTTTCCTCTCTCTGGATCTCCCCTTTATTTTATCTCGTCATCTTTTTTTAATTCTATAAACTGTAACATTAATTAGAATGAAGAGTGCATGGGAGGTACATTTTTTGAGACTTCTTCTAAAAATGCTTTCATGCTATCCTCAGAATTATGTGATTGGCCAGGTATAGAACTCTTAAGTTATAAATCATTTTCACTTCAAATCTTAAAGGTATTTCTCTGATGTTTCTAGCTTCCATTATTGCTCTATATGCCATTTGTCTTTCCCCTCTTGAGGTTTGTGAAATCTTTGTTCCTCGTCTTACCAGACGAGTGATGTGTGTAGTTGTGGGGAACTCAGTGAGCACCCCTATTCTGGGAACTCATTTACTTTAGTTTCGGAGAATTTTCTTCAGTGGTGTTTTCTCCATTTTCTCTTTGGAATGCCTGTTATTTGGAATAGATCACTTATCTTTTCTCTCCTATTTCTTATTTTCCTCTGTTTGGGGGGGACATTTCCTTATCTGTATTTTCTAAACCTTTTATTGAGTCTTGTCTGCTATCATGTTCTTAAAATCTAAGGGCTGCTTGTTCTTTTTTTTTTTCATGAATGTGTTGCCTTTCCTTTTTCTTATCTTTCTGGGACTACTAAAGTTTCTGTCTTTCTACATAACCTTTGTTTCCAGCCATTTTTTTTCCAGTTTGTGTTAGATCGTCTTTCATATTACATGCCTTTCTCAGTTGTCAGGGATCCTTGGATGGCCGTATTCAACTAAAATGCTAGTTAGAAGCTCTGAGATCATGGTTAGGTATTGATTGTTGACTTCCACATCTCATGGTTAGGCTGGGCAGTTTGTTGAGCAACTCTGGATATTAGTATCTTTAGGGACTCCCTTTTGGACTGGCTGTCCAGCTAATCTTCTGTCTGGAAAGGAGGAGGGAGGACTCAGCAAGGCTCTCGGTATTTTGAATATTGTCATTTAGTTGCCTTGTTTTTAGTAGATAGCCAGTTCTGGAATCCTGCAGTCCACAGACTTCTCCAGGGAATGAAACCTCAGACTTCTGCCAGGGTAGGAGCAGACATAGTAGTCGTCTGCTGAGCTGAGGCCAGGAGGCGATTTGGAGCTCTAAATTCTCCTTAAGTCGACATTCAACCACTTCTTTTGTTTTTATCTTACCTTCACAACCATTTACAGAAGTATTGCCAATTCTTAAAATTTTGGTGTCTTTTCCAGGGTAACTTGGCTGCATCTCAGCTTTTCTTATTGCAAATTCAGCAAAACACTTGCTCAGATCTACATTAGTTAACTCATGTCCATCTACTTTTCCAACTTGCAAAACTTTGCTGCTTTGTTTCTCCTCTTACTCTCTTTTTCTCTAAAGGTTTATGACTGAAAGAAATTTACTTTCTATTCTAATGGGGTGTGGGGAGAGAGGGAAACTCTGTCAATTTTCCTGAAAATTCTCACTCTTATTCCTTGTCAAAATACTTAATCATATATACTTGAGCTTATTTTTGGATTAAAGATATGCTTATTTGATGACTCAGTTTTTACTATTTATTCTCATCTATCAGATTCTCCCACTTAATGAATGTGTGCCATGTTAACTATAAAGCAAAGCAGGTATCTTCTGCTTGACATATAATGGAATTAGCACTCCAGAGATTTCTCATGTAACCTTGGACATGCTCCCCATCCCTGCTCATGTAGTTTTTGTGTGAAGGAATGCAGAGCTGCAATCCTGACTCTTGTACGTACTTAGTTCTGTGAACTTGGGAAACTTTATCTTTCTGGGCTTCATTTTCTTTAACGCAAAATTAGGATTATAATGCATTTGGCATGTTTATGTGAAATCATTTTCTTTAACGCAAAATTAGGATTATAATGCATTTGGCATGTTTACTATGAGCCAGGTAGTGGCTCATAGTAAATGAAATTGTGTATAACCACCTATTTTAACATTCACACTGTATTAAACATTTAAAGAAAATCAGCTTTTTTAACTTGTGGAATGTTTTATATTTTTTTCTTAATGGGTCTAGAATTTTGCTGAAATAATTTGTTTCTTTTTAGAATTTCAAAAATATCAAATAGCAAAAGATAAACCAACTAACTTTAAGCATTTTTATTTATTTATCTTAGTGAGCTACCAGCTACTATAACTATGTAAGGGTAACTGAGCCGATACAATGTTTCTTTTATGAGGACTCTAATTAGTCTTAAGATAAATCACATACTAGTTGAATATAATTATGATAAGGATTTGAGAAATTAAATTCTACTTAGTGAGTCCTTGGTTATAGTTCCATAATTACAAAAAGGTTAATATTTCTAACAATCCCTGACTTTAAGGTAGTTTTATTGATTTCTTCTTCCTTTCTTGACCCCCTCCCCCAACCCCAAGGGGGAAAACACAGTTGCTTCAGTTTAGAAGCTTATCTTCTCTTACTTGGTCAGTTGCAATAAAACTTCCAAATGAGTTACCTACATGCATTTTCATCTCACTTTACAGCCTAGTCATTGTTAATTAACGGAGATTTTAAAATTGTCCCTCTGCTCCTTAGAATACTTCATTGAGTTCCTTTGGTCTAAATCTTGAGAGTGGCATTCAAGACTTTCATAATCTGTCCCTTATCTGTCTTTCTGATGTCATCCTATGCAACTGCCTCATATATACCCCAAACTTTAACCAGATCGCTAACTCCCTCAAGTTTTTGTGATCTAAGTATATGTGAAACTTCTACTTATACTCCATTTGTCATTTGTGTTAGGAAGACTAAAGCCCTCCTTCTCTTCTGTGACAGCAATTTTCAGTTACTTCACAATTGCTCATTTAATTGCCCAAATCCCCTTAACTAGATGTGAGTAGTTTGAAGGTAGTAGTAACATTATTATTATTATTATTATTTTATTATGGATGGCTAACATTCAAAGTTTGCTGATTGGAGTGCTTGTGTATTTTTAGCAATTTTTACTGTTTTAATTTGACAATAGAAATTGTAATAATCTTACATAAATAAAATTTGGCAAACTCTAATTCAAATAATAAATATGTTTCATAGCCTTCAGTTTGGAAACCTGCAGAATTATGATTGCCATGTTGGATGTATCCTTGAATAAAAATAGAAGATACTATTGTTTAATTGCTTTCTGCTTATTAAGGAAGTTGTTGGTTATAGATGACCACAGTAAATTAGAGTTTAAAAATACTTTGCAAGATCCTGTTTGAATCCCAAACTTCTCTCATTTTACATAGAAATGTATTCAAATGATGAGTTTGGCTAACTCTTGCAGAGGCATCCTAACCTTTTTTTTGGTGGAGGGGGTGGTCAGTGATTTGGAATTTTGGGTTGGGTAAGTCCTCTTTGGTATCAAAATTTATTTTTGTTAATAAAACTCTCAGAGAGATTATACAGGAAAAATGGGATTCAATGAATTCAAAGAACTTTGGACAGTTCTTAATGCCTGGAAGGAAAACTTCATATCTATTGATCAAGACAGAAGTGGCACAGTAGAGCATCATGAATTGAATCAAGCCATTGCTGCTATGGGTAAGAATATTACAATTCTTTAGCATCCACCCAAATTATCTTTGTTCTTTGATCAGATGAAAAATTGTTTCAATTTGCTAAGTAATAAAGGGATATATTACTTCACCAGCTCCTTCTGAATAACCATGTTGATCCTCAAATTTTCTCTGGTTATAAAAGACGCTTGTAAGGAAAATATTCAATGGGAAATACAGCATTTGAATGATAGCAAAGATCACTGATAAACTTTTCTTTCATAGTCTTTAAAGAACTATGTAATTTAGAGAAATGATGGGTGAAGGGGGTCAAAAGATACAGATTTCCAATTATAAAATAAGTAAGTTATGGAGGTGTAATACACATCATGTATTATAGTAAATAATACTGTATTGCATGTTTGAAAGTTGCTGAGAAAGTTGATCTTCAAAGTTCTTATAACAAGAAACAACAATGTACTTATAAGATAGATTATATAAGAAGCCAAATGATGAAAGTTATATTTCACATTTGTACTATGTAGGGTGACAAATGTTAACTAGACTTACTTTGATATTATTTTGCAATCCATGCAAATATCAAATGATTATGTTGTACACTAGAAGTACAGTGTTGTAGGTGAGCTGTACCTTAATAAAAAATAAATAAAAAACACAAATAAAAAACATACCTTAAGGGTAAAAACATAAAATTACAGAATTGAAATACTGAAGCATTAAAACCCATGAAATACCCTAGATGTTCTTTCAAAATCAAAATATATTTTTAAAAACAGTTATTTTCTAACTTTATAAGCTAGAATTATGATGTTTATGTATCACTATTAGTAATTAATAGTTGCTTTGATCAATTTTAGTATGAATGTGTTTTTCTAACATATTTTGTTTTTAATATTTTTTATGGAATGAATTTTGAAAGTTAATATATTTTATGACTCTTAACAAGAATGCAATGTTTGTTGTGGTCTTCTTATGGTGTTTAGTTTTAGAAATTTTAATTTGTCACCCTCTTTTTATTAGGTTATAGGTTGAGTCCTCAAACATTAACTGCTATTGTTAAGCGTTATAGCAAGAATGGGAGGATCTTCTTTGACGATTATGTTGCTTGCTGTGTGAAGCTTCGAGCACTGACAGGTATTGATCATTTAAAAATGGGTACAGAATCATATAGCTATTTTCATTAAGTACAGCAAGTTTATAATATTATATATTTTTCCCCTTTATTCACTATTAAATCTAATCAGAGTGTTAAGGCTTTAAATGTTTTGGAATACAAATAGTGAAAAATTGTTATAGCTCAATTTTGGAGGTTTTATTGAGTATGAATTTATTTACTTTTTAGTACCTGGGGACACCATGTATTTGAAACTGTAGATTTTCAATTATAATAAAAAAGTAATTTGTTTGTTTAAAGATTTCTTTAGGAGAAGAGACCACTTACAACAAGGGGTTGTGAATTTCATATATGATGATGTGAGTATTCTGTTAAACTTTTGATATTTACACTGTGTTCCAGAAGTGTTCAGAGTTATCAAAAACTGTAAAGTGAACCTTGGTACCAATATGGAGAGTAATATATTTCATAGGCCATGTTCTTTTTCTGTATTTTGTGGCTGAATGTAAATATAAGATTCAGTATTGGTACAAATACTGACCTGACTTAATATTAAACATAAAAAAATACTTCAAAATTTTATGAGTTTTTTTAAAATTTAATTTTATTTATCTTTAGAGACAGGGAAAGGGAGAGAGAGAAACATCTATTGGTTGCCTCTCATACATACCCCAACAGGGACTAAACCTGCAACCTACGTACGTGCTTTGAATGGGACTCAAACCAGACACATTTGCTTTGCTGGATGATGCCCAACCAACTGAGCCACACTGGTCAGGGCTATGGCAGGGTTTTGACAGTTCAACTTCCAAATCATTTTTAAGAGCAAAACTACCATTATTTTTTTAGGAAGAGTAGTTTATTTGTAATGATCTTTCTTAGTTCTAATAAAGATAGAAAATTTTCATGTATGATATATTATAAAGTTGTTCATTTCTTATTTCAAGTGGTTGCTATTAACATGAATCCAGGTATTTTTTAAAATTAACATGAAAGGAAAGTTGTATTTTACATGTGTTTCAATGTTTTAGGGTTGTTGTTTTGTTTTTATATGGAAGTTATAGGGTCACCATTTCCCTACTAATATATGCTAGTTGAATTATAAGACTTGGAAAATCAGACTTTCTCATCCTGTGAAAATGCTTTTATGGAATATAATAACAAACACCATTTTATTGTTAATAGCTGACGATTTTTCTTATACACTAGTTTTTGCAGGGCACTATGACAATTTGAATGCCTAGAATTTGGAAGCTGAAGAAATACTGTGAATATTTCTGATTGGAAGAAATAAACTGGACTACTTTGAATTCAGGCTTTTGGTGGGGCTTTTCCATGTTTCTATATGTTAAATCTCTTCCCTTCATACTATATATACACATATATGTGTGTGTGTGTATATATATATATGTGTGTATGGCGCTTTAATTTGTTATGAATAAAATAATGTGTTTTTATTTTAGCACACAATTCAAAACAATAAGAGATGTTTTTGTATTTGGGATGTTTCTGCTTTTAGAAAAGTTATTACTTTATGGATATCTGTATAATGTCATCAAGTATTGCTGTATGATTAATTGATGTAAATATCTCTCAGCCTTAATTTTTAACAATATAAACTGGAGGAATGTATTTATAAGCTAGATTATATAAGAAGCCAAATGATAAAAGCCTAGATAAAACTAATTTATACTTACCTGAAGGTTATGAATTTTACTTTCAAATTTCATTGGTATTTGAAGGTAAGCTAGAAGGGCAATCCTGGATTTTGTGCCATATTCATAATAGGGTTTATTCTTAATCACATTATCAAAGAACAGAAACATACGTCTTTAACTGTGTAGAAGAAAATTGTAGTTCCTAAAATTTTATTTTAAATTGCTTTAGATAGACTGTAAAATAATATATAGTGAAATAAGACTGTAGGAGGCATGATTTTTCCTTTTTTATTCTTTACATCGTATATTTTTTACAATGTGTTTTGTTGTCTTCTATGGAAAAAAATTCTTAATAATCAACTTTTCTCTCTGCACTTTAATTTGTTACTGAAGACTTAGAGTACCTAAAATGGCATCTTTTGCTAAATCTTGATTTTTCTGAAAATGACACATTTTAATGAAATGTCAACATTTAAAGTTGTTCTGTTAAATTAAATTGTTGTTTATATATAATGCCAACTGTTCATAAAGTTAAAAACAAATCAAGTGATATACCACTTTGTTTAAATTTTCAGAAATTATAAATCTGACTTTATTGACAACATTAGCTGGTGGCTCTGGCATTAGGAAACCAACAAGTCTTTTGGTATCTGTGGGATATGGAGGATCATAGACAGCTCAGCAACTCTTCTGAGTGGTATTACTCTTGAAATTGCAAAGTTCGGTCACCAGGTTTTGACCTTTTAAAAATCCCTGGTATAAGCTGTTATAATTAATCCAGCCCCTCTGTTGGCAAAACCCTAAGTCCTTCTTAATGAAGATTTAATAAAACATATATTTTTCTTACATGTGAACTGAATATCTTCCCCAGCTTGAACATGAATACAGTAGTCCCCCCAATCCAGATGGATACATTCCGAGATCCCCAGAGATGCCTGAACCCAGAAATAGTACCTCACTCTACCTATGCTATGTTTTTCTCCTGTACACACACACCTATGATAGTTTAATTTATCATAGTAAGAGATTAACAACAGTATCAATATACTGTATTAAAAGTTATGTGAGTGTGGTCTCTGTCTTAAATATCTTATTGGCAAATAATTTGAAAATTATAGGCCATTTAAAAATAATTTTAGGATTAACTGAACTTTTGGGTGCATATTTCATTTCCCAGAGCTGTGTACATGCAGCATGGATATGCTGGCCAAAGGGATGATTCACATCCTGGGAGGCATGGACTGGGAGAAACAGAGATTTCTTCACATTATTGAGTATAGTGTGCAATTTAAAATTCATGAATTATTCTGGAATTTTCCATGTTATACTTGCAGACCACAGCTGGCTTCCGGTAACTGAAACCATGGGTATGAGGTTACTACTGTATAAATTGACATCATTTTAGTATGGCTGGTGACAAAATTAATATATAGTTTTTATAAACCATGTTTTTTTAAATATGGAGAATGAATGGTTAGTAGTATCTTGAAAAAGACCCATTTTATGAACTTACATAACTTTAAATCAACTTTTAAAAAAATCCTGGAAAGGACATAGTTATAGTCGTTTTGATATAGATAATTTTATATAATTAATTAACTGTCAAATTCATTTGGTCAGTTTTATAAAAATATGTATATGAATAATCCATATAATTTGGTCCTCTGGTTAATTATTTTTCTTGAACATATTTGATAATGTGAGAGGGTATTAACTGAAACATAAAAAATACAGAATTTTCAATAGAAGTGTTGTAGGAAAGAGCTAATATAAGCACACCATATGTCATTCCCATTGAAGGAAGATGATAATATGACTCAGCAGCCTAGAATCTTAACATCCAGCTTATAGGTTGTCAAGTTACTGTACTGTTCTGAGGTCAATTGTAATTGGAATATTCTATGTCATGCTAGTATGGTGGTTTGTTCTGGTATATCCATGCCTGGTTTTCTTATGATGTAAATTATTGAATAATGTACACTCTTAATGTCTAAGTGCTTTTATTTATATAGTAAACATGTTTCCATGTCATTTTAAGAATTTTTTTAATAAACATTCAAATAGCTTGCTGTAAAGTTTTGTATCATACAAAATCCATTACATACATGAGATGCTTCAATTCAAATAACAGTGCAGTAACACCTATATCTAAAAAACTGCCAAATAATGAAATATTAGTTATTAAATGAATAGTGTTAAGTATTCCACTTCTGTTTCCAGTGCCAGTTTACACATCTTAAATTACATTAAGGGGAAATCGATAGTATTAGAGTGTTAATTTGGTCCACTTTAATTGTAATCTTAAGGACTGTGCTCATTTGATCTATTTAAGCATGCATTCAGAAACAAAAAGTAATAAAAATGTCAAATGATATGTTTATTTCTGGAAAAGACATTTATCCTGGAAGAAAGTAGAATTTATTAATGCAGTGTAAAGTCTGTGCAATTAAAAAAATAACAATAACATAAATTTGTGATTTTTTTCTTTAAGTAAAGTATACAAATCAACTTCGCTTGTAATCATGCAGCTTTACTAAACTGGACAAACAAACGCTGCCAGAAATGTGCTTTTCTTTGCCTTTTTATGTTTGACAACCTTGTAGGTGATAATGTTTTTACCAATGTGTAACAGTTTTCTGGGAAATTAATGGGAGTAAATTTGTGAAAAATCTGGTAAATTAAATGTAGTAAGTAAAATCCAACATTTTCAGGTTAGCATATTTTTCTTTTTTTCTTACATTTTATAATGCAACCATGATGTTTTATTACTTTGAAATTTGTATTAAAAGATCACAATTCTTTTGGTCTTAATTAAGTTATGTACATAGTAAATTAAGCATTTTGAAGTAAATATGCAATGCTATAAGGTATCTAAGAGTATGTCTGGACTTCATAATAATATTAAGTGATGCAAAAAAAACCCCCCATTTTGAACTGTTACAATGATAAACGCAGAAAGGATTTTAAATGAATACTGTTCAAATATTTGTGTTCTAGAATAAGGTCATAATGTCACATATGTACATATATTAAAATTGTCCAGTAATTTAGAATACTGAGCACAAAATTTGCAGTAAAACACTGGGAAACTTATTAAAAATGAATCTCTGAATCACTATCAGCTCATTACTTGAATACTTGGAAATCTTGTGCTTTTAATTATTTCTTGCCGTGTCTTTTTTTCTACTTGTTTTTTAAAAAGGTTATTTTACTGGCATATAAAAGAAGAGCCTTATATTACTCTACATTCCTGCTACCCAAGTAGGTTGATAATATGCAGCTTGTATATTTGCGAGCATTTGAAACTCAGATGTGCTTTATGTCTGAATAGTTAGTAAGTAGACATTGCGGCACTAATACATAGCTATGATGTGCATAGAATTAGAGAATGAGGAGGTCCTTGCCTATGTACTCCCTGTTGCTTTAAGTTGCACTCCTTCTGCAACATCAGAGATGGTGGCAATTTGGAAAGATTATAGGGAATGAGTAGAATTGGGCTAGGTCATCATTTAATATCTATGCCAGGAATTAGTACCTTCTGATAACATGGGGTGTGTGTGCGGCAGGGAGGAGGGGAGGGTGCGGGGACATCCAACCTTTATTCTCTGAGCATAGAAATATAAATATATACTTTACAGATACATGCATAGTCATTTGCATTTTAGTTGACTGTATTTAATTACATTTTATCTTGCTATGGTTACTGAAATTTCAAAGGATAACCCGAACTGTGCTAGTATGGTTGTTCTAGAAACATACTAACTAAAGACCCCTATTCTTTTGAAAATTATAGGCCATTTAAAAATAATTTTAGGATTAACTGAACTTTTAGGTGCGTATTTCATTTCCCAGAGATATCTAAATGCAGTTCTCCCAAATTTATATTATTTTAAGAGATTTTCAGTTTTTAAATGTTATGCTTTTTCATACTTTTGAGTCATCCTTCCTATAGATATCAATACAGTACTCTCTGCTAATGTGTATTTGGTTTAGTTTTTCATTTATCAAGTAGGGAGATGTTCTCTTGTGTTTTTAAATCTTAAAAATGAATGGTGGGAGATCTAAATCACTAAACAGACTAAACAGTCTTTAACTTAGAAAATTTCCACATCATGACCAACAAGTTTTCTTTAAAATATTTTGTTTGATTTTTTTTCTTATATAATTGATTAATGATTCTAGGGGCAAATTAAGAATGTATGAAAGAGGTAAATGAAAATAATGTTACCTGGATATTTTCTTCTTGGTGAAAAAAATGAATCAAGCATACATTGTAACAATTTTGTTTCACATATAAGTTAAAGCTCTTTAGTCATCAGAAATTTTATATAATCAAATGTTTTAGTAAATTTCTATTTTTGATAGGCAGTAATAAAAGCAAAGTGTTTTGGTTTCTTTAATTTTCAATGTAATGTGTTTATCACTCAGTCCAGTTTACTAGTGTCCTAGTGGGAATCAGTAAATCTGTGGATGCACTGTTACAGTTATGTGATTTTGTGAAATATATCAGCACCACCATGCCTGTATCTAGTACTGTGCCTAGGAAAATGTTGGGAATAATTGGCTTCTCTAATGAAAGTATGCTAATTAGCTACTGAGATTTACTTTCTTTTTCCCCAAAATAATTTCTTTTACAAATTCTTGAATTTTCATGTATAAATAGTTGAGAAATTATATGCTTCATTCTTAAATTATGTATATATGCTATATGTTCAATACAACTTGTACACTTTTAGCTACCAAAAATGTGCAATCATTTTTACATGAAATTTACATATGTTGTATTTACAGTTATTTGTAGGTTATTGCAAAACTATTGTGCAAGTAAATTACACTGTCAATACCACATACCAATCTTTGAAGAAAATATTTGCTAAAAAATAAATATTTCTGCACAGAGTATTTCAAAAGCATCATGGTTTCATGCTACATTATGTGCATAAAGACTAGGAAATAGTATGTGTTTGGTAGATTGTTTCATTATGTTTAAAGCATTCCAGGGTACTTACTGCTTAACCAATGCAAATGAGCTTCTTTATATCAGGTAACTGATATTTTCAAGTGATCATAGATTATTTTTTGAAATCCATCCTTTACCTGGCAAATGTTCTATTATACATTTTTCT